GATCAACACAGAGCCGGACATGGGGCTCAAACTCACAAACTGCGAGATCATGACCTGAGCCAAAGTCAGACGCTAAACTGACTGAGCCACCCAGGCGCCCCTTAAGCATACGATTTTAAATGGTTCGTTTCATGTTATGTGTAATTTTATCACATCCTAGATGAGGTAGTGACCCCCTTTTTGTTCTATTGACACTACTCCAATTTTATTGTAGAAGCTAAAGAAAAAAGAGGACTTTACAGCTGACATTGTTGGAATGTGCAGATTATTAAAAGGGGAATGTAAAGAATTTTGGAACTTAGGTGAAAGTAATAGCGCAGCTCATCTCATTGTTCTGGAATCTATTTTAAGGGCACAAGCCCTCAGTAATTGAAGGTTTCTTCTCCTTTTCCCTAAAATCCCTCACTACAAGGTTGTTGGTTTTTGGAAAAAAAAAAAAAAATGATGATGATGCTATTCGACAGCTGCTCCCTGGCAGTATGTTTTTGTGTCCAGTTTGCTGAGGGTCTTACCGTGTCTATGGAAACAAACTGATGTACCTGATCATGAGCGAGAGAATCACTTTGATTAAATCCTGGTTAGCAGGTTGAGGATATTAATAAAGTGCTCTTCTGCGACTGTGCGTCCTTTCCTCCCATCTGCAGCGTGCCAGCGACGCACATGCATGCTCGCTTTCCCCACGCAGCCCCGATGCTTTGTCTGGAGCCACGGGTCATCTTCCAGCCACACAAAGCACTCGTCCGTGTCCACTCATACCAACACATCAGTTGACGAATTGCCTTCTTTCTAAGTCCGCCAATGTCTCCGGTTGCCTAGATTGAGAGTAGGTTGTTGACTGCCTTGATTGACAGGAATACCTGATGTTCAAAGAAAGGTTATTAGCATGGATGAAAGCAGCTAGAAGCATGAGAAATGACTTAAAAACATACAGAGACAAATCCAGATGGCACGCAAACCAAAAATTGTCCCCACTAAAATATACTAGCTTTGGAGGGCAGACTGAAACCGACAAGGTGTGTGCCACACCGTGTTAAATGTAAATAAGTTTTCTTAGAGGAAATCCAAATGTCTACTGTGACAGACTTGCCAAGGCAGGGATGTCCATGAGATCTTTTATTTCCTCCTGCTACTGTACCTTCAGTGTGGGTAGCTGCCTCTGGTGGTGCCTAGCTACATAATTTTCCACAAGGAGCTATAGTTTCAATCAAGTATGTATTTTTGTAAGAATTACTATTTAAGAAATATCACATACAGTTTTGTTTTAGATACAACTTAAAGAACTGTGTGCCTGTCTATAATCTGGCACCTTCTTGTCAACAGTTATTGACAGAAAATAGAGTTTCCCCTAGAGTTTCTTGCTTCAAATTTAAATTTAAAATAACCTTCACCTCCACTTGAATTTTCTCTTAGAATTAAAAAGCCAGTACCCAAACACACATGGGCTTCCCAGGGCTAGCAGCTCATGGAGCTTGAGGACAAAACTGACATAAGCAATTGACTCTTCTGCATTTGCTCGTCTACGTGGTAGAGTGAAACCCAGGCCAGGGTCAGTGCCTCTTTCCCTGCCCGGAGGTCACTGGTGATAGCTCCACTCCAAGCCTGCTTCTCTTTCTGTCACGTAACTTTGACATTAAGACGCAACTAAATTCATTCTCAACTACCATAATTAGTTTCTAATTTTGTCTAAAGAGACTATTTTAGAAGACTTTTCCCCAAAACGACTGAAAGCTTTTAAAACATAGCTGAGCGTTGAAACTTTTATGACCTTTGTTACAATTTTTGACTACTGGGTAGTAAGTAAAATATTAATAACCTTTTCCAGAGTCTACCAGAAAAAAATCCAGTATGTGAGCCATCAGTGGTTTCCGTTTTGAAATTTCTAAGAAGGTTCAATGAGATTATGTCTCCTAGAGGTCAAGGTAAAAGATAACAGCTTCTGGGCAGGCTTTTCCTCACAACCCTAGGTCAGTCTGGCTCTGCACTTGTGAACTTCGTGTACACAAGGTTTCTTTTTCCAAGTATTTGTATGAAGCTACACTTTTTTTTCATAGCAGTCATTTCTCTGGTTATTTGCTGCTTTCAGACCACTTACATAAGAGAGATCCTGATTCGCCCCATTTTATAGGTGAGAAGACTCAGTGAGATTCTTAGGTTAGTGGCTAGCTGAAGGTCTCACAACGGAAATCAGTGAAAGTCTTTCTCTGGTTTTATTCTTCAATTCAGGGGCAAGTTTTCCTTGGTGTTTCTTTTTAGCCTCTGCCCTTTTTTTTTTTTTTTAATCCAATCTACCCTCAAGCTATTTTGCACCCTCCACAAAATTCAAGTGCCCTTTGTTTTTCTTCTGTTTTTATTAACCCGTATTAGTGACCTTGTTGTAGTTGGGGACTCGGATGGGCATATCTTAAAGTAAAATTTAAAAATAAACCTTATTGTTCCTTCAGTCTTGGAGGTGGAACATTCCTAGGCCTATGTTGCTTGCTGACTGGTTGTGAGACCTTTGAAGAAGCTCTGGAAATGGCAGCTAAAGGCGACAGCACCAATGTTGATAAGCTGGTGAAGGACATTTACGGAGGAGACTATGAACGATTTGGCCTTCAAGGATCCGCTGTAGCATCAAGGTAGAGACGAAGTAGCTAGGAGCCATAGTGTTTAAACAAGGCAACCTCTCCACCCTGGCCATTCACTTAGTTATTTTTAAAAATGTCAACCCACCAGCCTGGTGCAAGTATCTATGGTTATTGGAGCTCAGACTTGATCTCCCACCCTTTAGAAAGCACTGAGATGTTTAGCCTTTGATACTTGTGCTTAAAATAGGGCAGCTTTGAAAGAAGGTTCTGGAAAACTGCAACAGTTTCCCCTGTTCCATTCTTGTCAATATATCTAGAGAGCATTAAAAAAATTTTTTTTTCCCATTAATAGTCATGCTACTTTGCCCCTATTTAAAAAAAAAAAAAAAAAAGGGCAGCCAACCATTCATATCGTAATCCTGTCTGCTTGTAAACCATGGTAGCCAAATCAGGTCATTTGAACTTGAACAGTTATTCATAAGGCTTTCCACAGTACTTTGGTGAAAGCGTGGGACCTGCCTGAGGATGATTTTGAACACTCTCGCTAATATTTCCAACATAGCTTTGGCAACATGATGAGTAAGGAAAAGCGAGATTCCATCAGCAAGGAAGACCTCGCCCGAGCCACACTGGTCACCATCACCAACAACATTGGCTCCATTGCTCGGATGTGTGCGTTGAATGAGGTAAGGCCTTAACCCAGAGAAAGACTTGTGTCATTCATACACATCATCTTTAGCAGTGCAAAACTGTTGACCCTTACAAAATTGTAGATCCTTGGGATCCTGCCCTTTGTCCTAATCACATCTTGTAGAACGTGAGGGGTGTGTTTTGGGAAATGGAAAGGAGTATGTGTCTTATTTTTAAGAGGCACTGGATAATAAATGGTAAGCCATCTAATCATGGAAACCAGCTAAAATTTACCACACATACCATAGCCTCTCTGACCATCATTATTACCACGTACCTACTGAAATGTGAGGGAAAGACTGTGCATCCTTGCAAATAACTGCAGGTAAAGTGTTCCACTTGCAATAGTTGATATTCTCTCTGCTTTCAGCTTCTTTACAGTGTTGCCTTGTGGCATGGAGTTCAAGCAGCATTGTACAGGGCTATCAAAGCATGGAGAGCTTGCTACAGCCGAGGCCACCCAGAGCCCCGGGCACAAAAAGGGGTGGAGCTGGTGACAGACAAAGTTTTGGTAACATGATTTGAAACACTGCAGAATTCCTGCAGGAAAATATAACTCTTTTCTGAAAGACGAGACCTGTAAAGTAGCATGGCTCCCACTGAGTTGTGTTAGGAAGACAAGAAAGGGGTTAGGAACATGTAACATGCCACGGGTAATAGAAGTTATATTAAAGAATCACAGTCGCATCCGTGATAGAGTTCTTAAAAATATAATTTTAATAGAAATACATACAGAAGACAGTCAAATCCTAAGTGTACAGCTTGAATTTTCACACACCTGTATAACCACCACTCAGATCAAGGAATAGAACATTACAGGTACTGCAGAAACCAGCCCCTGTCCCCTCCTAGTTGAACAGTGGGTTTTTTTGTTTTTTTTAATTTTTTTTTCAACATTTTTTATTTATTTTTGGGACAGAGAGAGACAGAGCATGAACGGGGGAGGGGCAGAGAGAGAGGGAGACACAGAATCGGAAACAGGCTCCAGGCTCCGAGCCATCAGCCCAGAGCCTGACGCGGGGCTCGAACTCACGAACCGCGAGATCGTGACCTGGCTGAAGTCGGACGCTTAACCGACTGCGCCACCCAGGCGCCCCGAACAGTGGGGTTTTAAACACGGTAAGAGGTGATCTTTATGACGGGTGGTGCCAGCCCGGCCTTTGAGCTCTGGGGTTACAACTTTGAATAGAATATGCCACTGGTCTGTGGCTCAGGGTCACAACTTTTTTAAGTCCCTGTCTGAGATGGAGTTTAAATGAAAGGCCAGGAGTTTAAATGCAAGGCTGAAGTGGAAAGAAAGAATGTATTCCAGCCATGTGCCTTTCAAAGTCCACTGCAGTCATGGGACTCATTTTAACAGAGGATTTATTTTTTGACCTTAACCTTTAAAGGGAGTTTTTTCTAGGTAGCCAAACAAAGCCTGACCAGTATGTGTGTAGTGGGTTGTCCTCACATACTCACAAAGGTCAGCTGGATGGCAATGTCCCTGCCCCACAGGGTTATAGATGCCCTTTCCCCTGCTTTCCATGCACTTTGAGTGAGCCAGCAGGTCTTTTTACAGAAATCATAATCACTTTAGGGGGAGGTCGACTGGTTTTATTTTTCACTCTTGATCTCAATTTCCTACCATTTATTGTTGGAGTGTAGCAAAAATGGTGGTTTTTTTTTTTTTAAGTATGGCGGATGAGAGGAATCACCCACCCAGTGACCTTGGGCAAGGGCTTTATTAGCTGGTGACCTGCCAGTGCAGGCTCCCTGTGGGCACACCACAAAGTGGCAGCAGGGTTTCCTGTCAGAGCCATAGTATGAGCTCTTCAGTCATTGCTTAGCGTGCTGGAGTCACAGAGTGGAGAGCCCTTGAACTCAGCTACTTCATAGAGGGGCACCACGTTTACAGATTCTAAAATATTTTTGCTGTGATTATTGGAATCCTGTAAAATGCTTCTCCATCAACATCAAACTTTTTATTCATATTATTGGATAGAAAATACAAACACATGGGGCGCCTGGGTGCCTCGGACCCAGCGTCGGACTTGGGCTCAGGTCATGATCCCATAGTTCGTGAGTTCAAGCCCCCCATCAGGCTTTCTGCTGTCAGCACGGAGGCCGCTTTGGATCTTCTGTCCCCTCTCTTTCTGCCCCTCCCTTGCTCATGCACCCGTGCGCACGCCTGCTCTCTCTCTCTCTCTCAAAAAGAAACATTAAAAAAAAAAAAAAAAAGCACATGACACAGAGTTCTAAAGACACCGAAAGGGTATATGAGGAAGTGAGTAAGTATTTCTACCTGGAAATTTCCATTTCCATCTGGAAATGTTAGCCTTACTAGAGGTAGCCATTGTTCTCCACTTTTGGGGTTTTATTCTATCTTGCATGCAATAAAGGAGAAACATTTCCTTCCAAAGGCAGCAAACTCTACAACATTCTTTTTTTTTAACAACACTTTTATTGAGATATAATCTCATCTCATACAATTCACGCTTTACATATTATTGTATGTCTTGCTTTGATTGTTTATCAACTTTTTATTATGAAAATTGGTAAGCCTACGTAAAGGAATAGAATGGTATAAAGAACCTCCTTATATCTATTAACCAGACTCAACAGTTATCAAGACTTTGCCACACACACCTTATCTGTTTTCTTCTTCCTCCTCCCTCTGCCCCTCTCTCCTCCTTTTGTTCCTCCTCTCTGTTTTGCTAAAATATTTAAAAGCAAATACCAGACGTTATATCAGCCTACCTCATATACTTCAATATGCACATCCGGGAATATTGCCTCTTGCTTTTTTACATGAGAATACATGTGAGTGTTATATCTTTCCTACTGCAATGTTATTTTTATTTTTTATAAATGTTTACTTACTTATTTTGAGGGAGGGAGAGAGAGCAAGAGAGCCAGCATGCACCTGAGTGGGGGAGGGGCAGAAGGAGAGGGAGAGTCCCAAGCAGGCTCTGTGCTGTCAGCGCAGGCCCAACTCGAGGCTCAGTCTCACCAACGGTGAGATCATGACCTGAGTAGAAATCAAGCGTCAGATGCTTAACCAACTGAGCCACCCAGGTGCCCCGTCAGCATTATTTTTTTTTAACTAATTTCCTGAGATTTTCTCTAGTCTTTCTTTCTTTCTTTTTTTTTTTTTTTCATAGTCATATCTTTGACTCACTTGGAATTTATTTGAAATGAGGACTGTCCATCAGCTTTTATTGTCATTCTGTTCCTTCTGGCTCATTACCAGAGTAATGCAGGACTGGGGCTTTGGTTGGACTTCCTTGTTTTAGGTGAAAAGGCAGAACTCCTAAATTTCATTAAATTCTTCTTTAATCTGAGTTTCTTACTTTGAGTGTTTCTTGTCGCATCTCAGTCTGAGCAGTTTGTAGCTACCATTGTTATTTGTGGAAGCTTATTAAAACCACCTCCCACCCGTCCACCCATGGAAAATTTTCACCATAATTAATGGGCTCATCAACTTACACTGTCAAAACCGGAGACGGTTAAGAGGCCATGTTCCTAGATCCTGATTATTCCTGATAGACTGAACAGAAAATAATGTCAGCTTCCAAGACTCTCTTCCATTTGACATAAATGACCATAGCAACTGGCTCTGTGAATGAGTGGTAGTGACCAGCTTCTGCATGGTAGTCAGGCTGAGCTCAGTGTTAAGTGTGTGTGCAGAATGCAAATCCACATCCATGTCACCAAAGCTACAAGCATATTTTTCTTTTCCATATTTTAACCCACATGCTGACCAAACAGGATAGTCCACCATACATCCTAAGGGTAGAGACTGGGAGTTGTTTCTTTTTGTATTCCTGGTGTTTGGTACAGAGCAAATGGGGCAAACCTGTTGGATGAATAATAATACCATTGCCGTTTTATTTATGAATTGGTTATAATAATAATTTATAGCTGGAATTTGAGGGATTGGAGGAATGCATAAGCAAATTTAGCTGAATTAGACTCCAATTACAATTTTATATATGTGTGTTGGTAGCTGAATTTCATATCAGACCTAAGTCAATCTAACATAATACCTGCAAACAAGCCCAATAGAGGTCTCTGCCTCGCCCAACCAGAATCTCACCCTCTCATTCTTGTGGAACGCGCTATGACGTTTGTTCAACTTCCTCTCGGAAATGCTGAAATAATTTCACTTAAAAAAATTCACTGTTGAAGGTCCTGGGAGCACATGGAGTGTGGAACACTGGGTCTTTGCTACATGCTACTTTTATACTATCATTTCATTGTTTTCCTTTAATTTTTTTTCCAGAATATTGACAGAGTTGTGTTTGTTGGGAATTTTCTCAGAATCAATATGATCTCCATGAAACTGCTAGCATATGCAATGGATTTTTGGTCCAAAGGACAGCTAAAAGCTCTGTTTTTGGAACACGAGGTAGGTCAAGTCTACATGGACTTAGTCATCCTGCGTGGAGTGTATTGGGTGTTGTCTAACTTTCGAGTGAGTCCCTGCGTTTTAAAATTGGTCAAATAGACTTGCCATTTAAACTTTGCACTTAGACAAAGGATAAAGAAGAACTATATATAAAATGGAAGCTTTCTTCTCCAACAATCAGGACTTGTAGTTGGTTAGTAATAATTTTAAAAATCAGGTAAAATGGGTAATCATTAAAAAATATCTCTCTACTTTAACCATTTTAATATAAAAATGTATAAATGTTCATTCACTCACAAATTTTTCAGTGTAGGACCAAGGTTTATTTTGAGCATGGATTGGAACTGGAGCATGGATTTCTGCTGATTGGAACTCTGCTGTTTTGCTTTCTGTTTTTTTTTAAGTTTATTTATTTATTTTGAGAAAGAAAGAGAGAGAGAGAATCCCAAGCAGGCTCTGCACTGGCAGCGCAGAGCCCAATTGGAGGCTCGAATCCATGAACCATGAGATCATGATCTGGGCTGAAGTCGGAGGCTTAACCGACTGAGCCACCCAGGCGCCCTGCTATTATCCTTTTTTTCATAATCCACAAGTATTATATAGCTTCTTTGATGTCTGATCTGTGTCTTTAAAATGGATTAAGAAATTAAAGATACTTATGAAGCAATTTGTTTGCATAATCCTAGATTTTCTCCTCAACCTTTCATATTTTGTATCCACCTACGTAGAGAGGTTTGTGACTCCTTTTTTCAGTCTTTTTCAAGAATTTAACTGGGGGTTCCTGGGTGGCTCAGTTGGTTAAGCATCCAACTTCAGCTCAGGTCACGATCTCACGGTTCATGGGTTCAAGCCCCACGTTGGACTCTGTGCTGACAGCTGGGAGCCCGGAGCCTGCCTCACCTTCTGTGTCTCCCTCTCTCTCTGCCCCTCCCCTGCTCACACTCTGTCTCTCTCTCTCTCTCTGTCTCTCTCTCAAAACTAAACATTAAAAATATTTTTTTTGAGAATTTAACTGGATTTTCATAGAAGTGTCCATTTATTTTGTACTCTTTTTATTGGTTTAGATGATACATAATTAAATTAGATTACGACATTAACAATAAAAGTGTCCTAAACAAATCTGAGGATAAACACAGCTGACTCTTGGCAAGCAGACAACTCTGCTGGCAGGAACGGAAGTGCCAGGGCTCCTCAGGGCAGCCTGGTGGCCCAGAGAGGCTGGTGTCCCTAGGCGTTAGCAACCTGTTTGCATAGGAAGCCGAGATCAGTTAATTCAGAGAGTCCCTTATATGGAGTTTCTATAATTCTATACATCAGAGGTTTCTAACAGTAAGCGAGGGACCTCCCTCTCTTTTGCCCACTTCCTCCACCACCACCTTTAAAATCAGTACTTTAAGGGGCGCCTGGGTGGCGCAGTCGGTTAAGTGTCCAACTCTTGATCTTGATCTCTGCTCAGGTCGTGATCTCACAGTTCACGAGTTTGAGACCCGCATCAGGCTCTGCACTGATGGCAGATGGTATGGAGCCTGCTTGGGATTCTGTCTCTCCTTCTCTCTGCCCCTCCCCTGTTTGTGCTCGCTCTGTCTCGAAATAAATAAACTTAAAAATAAAATAAAATCAGTATTATAGAGAGCGACAGTTTATTTATCACAGGAGGTACCTAATCCCTGGGGTATATTGTAGCAGAAAAAACTTTGAGAGAACCAATATTGCAAACTTGTAATGAATAAGTACTGTGGCATTTTTCTCATCTCCAAACTGAATTATTTATTTGAAAAGGCGCTGATGCATTTGTAAGTTACTTACAGTTTTCTAAGCCCGTATTTTGTTTTCTTAAAGCAGCTAAAACAATAAGAATTTAACTAGGAAGGACTTAAGGCTTAGTGACAGAACTTAATACTAAAGAAAGCCAGTTTTTTTGGTTTTTGTTTTTTCGGCCGACCTATAGCATGGAGTGATAGAACTTTGGGGGAATAGAGTCCGAGAACTTTTACCCCCCTCCCCCTCCAACCAGAGCAGCTCCCTTTTTATCTGCTTGTTTATCGTTTCCACCTAAGGTTTTGTTTGAAAAAGAAGAAAGCACCTCAGCTTTAAAAAGGCAATTAAGGGGCGCCTGGGTGGCGCAGTCGGTTGAGCGTCCGACTTCAGCCAGGTCACGATCTCGCGGTCTGTGAGTTCGAGCCCCGCGTCGGGCTCTGGGCTGATGGCTCAGAGCCTGGAGCCTGTTTCCGATTCTGTGTCTCCCTCTCTCTCTGCCCCTCCCCCGTTCATGCTCTGTCTCTCTCTGTCCCAAAGATAAACGTTGAAAAAAAAAAAATAAATAAATAAAAATAAAAAAAATAAAAAGGCAATTAAGGGGCGCCTGGGTGGCGCAGTCGGTTAAGCGTCCGACTTCAGCCAGGTCACGATCTCACGGTCCGTGAGTTCGAGCCCGGCGTCAGGCTCTGGGCTGATGGCTCAAAGCCTGGAGCCTATTTCCGATTCTGTGTCTCCCTCTCTCTCTGCCCCTCCCCTGTTCATGCTCTGTCTCTCTCTGTCCCAAAAATAAATAAACGTTGAAAAAAATTAAAAAAAAAAAAAAAAGTAAAAAGGCAATTAAAATGAAAAAAGAAAACCACTGTTCTAGTTCAGCTAGAGTTGCCATATTTAGTGATTAAAAACACAGGACACAGTTATTTTATCTGGCATTTATCTGTATTTTATCTGGCAACCCTAAGTCCAGATTCTCTTCAACTAAGGCAGAAAACAAACCCTGCAAGCCACCAGGAATTAAAAGCCATCGACAAGGCACATGGGTGTTAGTTGGTGGTAAAATAGAGAGTGAGATCCATCATTTTGGAGAAAGTCATTTCTGTAGGTGAAAATGTAGTCGCCCGTATTAGTTTGTACAATTCTAGGCCTCTGTGGGCTACGGCTTTGCTTTGTTACGCACATATCGTAACTTAGTCTTTATGGCCAATGAAAGTGGGGCGTTTTTATAGTCCCTTGTAAATATCTGTCAGAAAATTCTCTGCATTCTTAAATTCACTCTGGCTTAGGCAGGCCTTCCTGGAGGACACTGTGGAGAGAGAACTTTTGGGAGGTGCTGGTGAGGTGATTTTCCTGCCCTGCCTCAGGGGTCCTCATTCACTCCTTCTCATTCGTTCCACTAGTAGGATTGAGAAGTAGTCAGCTGAGCAGTTAAGAGCACAGCATCTTAACTGACTAGGAGAACTTAGACAATAACTGTACGTCTCCATCTTTGTGTGAGTCTTCATAAAATGGGATGATAATAATATTTATCTCATAAAGTTATTGTGAAGATTGAATGAGTAAATTCGTGTAAAGTGCTTAGAACAATTTTTAGCGTAGGAGTGCCTGGGTGGCTTAGTCAGTTGAACATCCAATTTTAGCTCAGGTCATGATCTCACTATTGGTTGGTTCGAGCCCCATGTTGCAATTTGCGCTGACAGTGTGGAACCTGCTTGGGATTCTTTGTTTCCCTCTCTCTCTGTCCCTCCCCCACTCATACTCTCTCTCTCTGTCTCTCTCAAAAATACATAAACATTTTTTAAAACTTTTTTTAGAAGAACAATTTTGGGGACGTCTGGGTGGTTCAGTTAAGTGTCTGACTTCGACTCAGGTCATGATCTCGCTGTTTGTGAGTTCGAGCCCTGCATCGGCCCTGTGCTGACAGGACAGCTCAGAGCCTGGAGCCTGCTTGGATTCTGTGTCTCCCTCTCTCTCTGCCCCTCCCCCACTCGCACTCTGTCTCTCTCTCTCAAAAATAAATAAACATTAAAAAAAAAAAAGAAAAACAGGTATATCTTCTAATATTATTATTATTGTTCCACTGTGCATGGCAGGGTTCAGGTTTGAAGTTTTTCTTATCTACAACATTAGGGGGCAGCATTCCCAGAATTATGAAAAACAGGAGGTATCCGGCTGTTTAGAGATAACCGTGCACAAGTTTCCCCATTGCTTTTGTAGGGTTATTTCGGAGCTGTTGGGGCACTGCTGGAACTGTTCAAGATGACTGATGACCAGTAGTGATGACAGTGGATAGAAGAGCCTTCTGTGAGAACAGAGACCTGAGACCTGTCGCTGGAGAAGGTAGATGTCGCTATGGGACGGAAGCCAAGCCATTATGGCAGATGAACCTGCTGGATTTGTAAATAATTTAAAATCCTTCTAGCTGATCTTTTACTCTTGGGTTTTGAGCTTATGATTCAAAATGGGGAATACAAGAGTTTTTTCTGTATACTGTATTTTTAAAACACACACACACACACACACACACACACACACACACACACACACACATTTGTGCAGAGAGGCCAAACCTATGAATTTTATGCATTAACCTTGAAAAGTTGTATGAGGTTTAAGAAGGACCCGAAGTGTAAGTGCTGTTTATTTTTCTTCTGGGGTTTACTGATCAGTGTGGTAATTTTAACTTCATTTAGTAATTACTCTAGGAGATCTTACCTTTACTTATATTCATCATGACGTTTCATGATTTGCTGTTGGTTTCAAATGAAACTACAAATCTGGCATGCTTTACTGTGAACACTATTTTGTTTGTTTGTTTCTTTACCTTTTTTTGTCTTGTTTTTTTCTGTTTCAACGTCTGATGGAGAAAGAGAGTCCTTCCCCCTGTTTCTGTCATCAGATGACTCCCTCTCCTCTCCAATACCTTTCTTTAATGTAATTGTTTGTACCAATGAAGGGGCTGATCAGCTCACTAAGAGTGAAGCACGAGATCGAAAGTGTTCATGAATTTTATGAGTCAGGCAAAAGTTGAAAATGATATACAATGAATATACAGTGTTTTGTTGGATTTACTTTACGTTAGGTTATATTAAATTGTGTTCTCTGATGAACTGTCCTCATTAATACCCACCATATGAGTGGCAGCAAATCCTTATGCAGGACATTGGAACTTCCTGGGTGAGGTCTCCCAGTAGATTAACCATTCACATTGGGAGATGGGGGAGAAGTCATGGGTTGACGTGTCAGGTAATAACACCTATTTGTTTTGTACACGTATGTACATAGGAGCTTTGTAACAAGCCATCTTAAATAATAATTTTTTGATTTGAAGTATTTCAAACTGAAAACTGCATTTCAATCTCAGTTTCTAATATTAAAAAAATCATGGTACTGATCTATCTATACATATTTTTTTCTTTTTTGAAAGATGTCATTGGCACCGATGGGTAACTTTCAAATGAGAGTCTTGTACAAATATTGAAACGCATGAGGTCTAATGACTTAGAACTGATTAATCTTTTGAACTGAGCATATTGTTGAAAGGGATCTTTGCAGGCACTATGATTACTCCGTGGTGAATCTTTCCTTCTCTGCCTCCTGAGCACCATCTTTAATTGCCATATCTTCACGTCTTGGAGAACTCGATGTTAACTGAAGTATTCACTTGTCTGGTTGAAATAAAGCCTGTTTCTGTTGTGATGTGTTTAGTGTATATGTTATTTTCATTTCTTAATCGTCATGTTCATATTATCTGCTTTTGTGCCATAAAATGAGTGTGTGTTGTATTTTAGCTACTCTTCATCTCATAATTTGAGGCTTTCACATAAGGGTGTCTTCAGTTGAAGCTTGTAGCTCTAAGCAGGGATTTTTTTTAAATAGCTTTATTGTTCTTATACAACTGATTCATTGCCAGAATATCATTACTATCTTTGGTAGTTCCCCCTCCCCCCAAATTTCAACATTTGGTCATCACAAATACATCTTATCAACTTCCACCTGGCTTTAAAAAATTCAAGCAACTAAGATGTTCTTGAAAAAGATAAATGTAAAAATGTACATATTAGCTACATTAGTGCCTTTTTTTTTTATTATTCTCCTCAATCAATCCTACACTCCTCTGTCAGGGAATAGCAGACCTTGGATTATGGTTCTGCAGAAGAAATCAGGGCAAGTTAGTATAATTATATAATTTTTTAATTATCTGGAATCACTTGATCTTTCACTGCAAATGTGTAAAACATTAGTTTAGCTGAGGAAATCAATTATTCCATTATACAAATATCGATAAATGTAGGCTACATATAGCCAGCCAGCCTTTTTTTTATAATGAGAAACTCGTAGCTCAAGGATTTTTATATTCACTTGAATCATAGACACTTTCCTTTGGCTCAACATTGAAAAGAAACTTGACAAGACTGAGGAATTTTTATCTTGAACTGTATGAATTCAGGACGGTCAGGTGTTCCGGAGCACGGCTTTTGATTGTAATTCAGCTTCAGTGTGGATCTAGCTTGGCCATTGGTTAGCTGTGTGGGTAAGCCACTAAACCCTCTCTCTAAACCCTGGTTTCCTTGTTCATAAAATGGGGCATACAGTTTTTACCTCCATATCTAAAGAGCTTAGCACAAAGGCTGGCACATAGGACATGTTAGCTGTACTGGGAAGAGAAGAACAGATGTCTTAAACGAACATGTGATATCAGTGGTATCTAATCTTCTAGAATGTGGGGAGCCCATTGTAGCACAGAGATACAGATCTTCCTATGCTAGTACATGTCCATAGCCCTGTGTCCGCAATTCCAAAACTCCAAACTCTTAAAATGTATCTTGATAACTCACTTGACAGACAAAGCTGACTTCAGGATTATTCATCACACTCTGTAGGACTCCTCATGTTTTGTTGCAAAGCTACTGATATGTTCGATTACAGGGTACCACCCCAGACCCTACTAGGGATGTTAAGTAGCGAACAATTCTGAATTTTGAAAAACATCTGGTGCCAGGAGTTTTAGATAAAGGAATTGTGGAAATATAGGTGTATTCTTCAGCTTAGGTAGCATACACAGATCCAGAGTCCCCTTCGTGGGAACTGTTATTTCAGGTAATTTGTGCTTGACCTCATCCAGTCATACAGGGAATAAGAAGCTACTTTGCGCCAGGAAGGAGCTGAGGAAACCAACAGGAATTGGCTATAACTCCTGCTGTTCTGCAAGGGAGATAAGTCTCAGACCAATTTGTGTCAAAAAGTGTCACGGGTGTCATTCACAATATTTACAACAGAGAACAAAACAAAAACCTACCCTCCCAGAGCTTACATTCCAGAAGGAAGACAGACAGATAGATAATCACTAAATAAATAATGGTAGATCAGTACTACAAAGAGAAAATGAGGTGAGGTAAAGGGCGAGAGAGGGGGTAGTTCCACTTAGAAAGCGGAAGGGGAAAAACATCGTTGGTAGAGTGGTCAAAGACAACCTCTCCTCCAAGGTGATGTTTGAGTGGGGTCAGATGAAGTCGGGAACACACCGTGTGAATCCCTGGGAGAACATTTTTTACTCCTGGCAAATGAGAATGGAGGTTTTGAGGAGCTGCAAGGATTCCAGTGTGTGTAAACAATGGGAAGAGCGACAGGAAATGCAATTTCAGGAGTAGGTGTGGGCCAGGCCCAATATGAGGTCTGTACGTGAGGGGAGAGGGCTGCATCTGAAGGAGGAACTGGTCACTTCTCCTAGAGGAGGCGGCTCAAGAAGTTTTCATAGAGTCCCAACCAGTGAGTACAGACCACTTGAGTGGGCCAGGGCGGGGAGGGGGGAGAGCAGGGCTTCCCAAGCAGAGAGAGTAGGGTGAGAGAAGCATTGAGAGAAGAAACAGTTGGGTTTTTCAGGGAACTAGAAGCTGTTTGCTTCAGCTAGAGCCTGGGTAGTGCCAGAGAAACCAGATACCAGGAGAGAGGAAATCAGCCAGATTATGGAAAGAGTTGTATTGCATGCTAAAGATTCTAGTGTTTTCTGTAGTCAGGGCCGAGCCATCAAAGGGTTTCAAGTCAAGTGAAACTAGAATTAATCTGACTTCAAAGTGGTAACAGAGCAAAATGTGCGACTGAGGTAAAGGAGTAAACCAGTTATTATGCTTTTGAATATAGAGCACCATTTTATTCTCATGTTTGCTTCAGTTCCTCTGTTGTGTCGGACCTCATGCAATAGCTGCTTAGTGGACCACGTTTCTCTGTAACTAAGAGGGTTATATAAGCTCTTGAGAAATTCCCCACAGGGCAAAGGCTGCTAATAGCTACAACCCTGCTATGATTCCATTTAGTGATTAGGAAGATTTCAACACCACTGATCACCATTAACTCCATAACTTGTGAGAACTGTTTGGAGAGAAGGCTCTTTTGCTCCCAATGATCAGAAGACGACCCCAAATTTGTGAGGAAAATTGAACTAATGCCCAGATTCTACTGGGGTCTACCAGGTGCTCGTTATTCACTCCATCTATTTAGTTTTGACAAATTTAATTAATTTGAATTAGTTTTGACATAATTAATTTAATAATGCCTATGATCTGGGAGGCATTGGGTAAGTTCCGGGATGCGTTCAGTGGGAGTGAGACAGCAAGGCCCCTCCTTTCATCGGGCTTACATTCTCACGAGGGAGGTGGACTTTCAGCACATGAACCGACAAATAAACAGGAAAATAGCATTTAGTAATCAGGCTGTGAAGACAAGAAACAGGGTGATATGGCAGAGAGGGAGGCAAGGGACTTCCTTTGTAAGATGGGCATAAGATACAAATATGAAATGATGGCCTCAGCTCTTGAGGAACGACCATTAGGTTTATCTTGCTGTCATTCATTACCACCTCCACAACAAAAATGGGAGATGTGTTTGGGAAACAGTTTGGAAGTTAATTCATTTTCCTTTTATTTTACTTAGAATAATCAATTTGGTTCCCATACGAGTTCAAAATCATTATGTTACATGAGATAATATTGATTTAGTAATGCACCGTTTTCACTCCTCCCTCATTTCATGAAACAGTATTATTTGAGCTGTTCACTTGAATCTTTATTGTCAATGCCTTTGTCATTATCAGGGTCATTTAGTGGTTTCCAGAGCGCGCCAAGTCTGACACACGGCACTTTTTTGCATCTACTTATGATATTGAGACTGGATTATTTTTTAACCAATCCACAAGCACTTAGTCCCGCAATGACCTCACTTATTTGTTTCATTTTTCAAAAGTGTTATATTGGCGATGCCATAGTGTAACCATTTATGTAGTGCCTTTTATGGTACGCTTACAAAGGTTAGTTTATGAGTATTCATCACTTGCAATACAAAAATAAAAGATAATAATAAAAGATAATTAAAAGTCTTTGCCTCTTTTTTGTGCTCACTCTATCACGTAAACACCAAACATTCCAAACTAGAATGAATTGAGGTTATTTCACTTAATGTTGTCACCAATTCTCAATGAGTTTGCAGTGAGAATTCATCTTCCTAAGCATTCTTGGGGTGCCTGGGTGGCTCAGTTGGTTAGGTGTCTGACTCTTGGTTTCAGCTCAGGTCATGATCTCAAGGTTTATGAGTTCAAGCTCCGCATCAGTCTTGACATCCGCATCCACTGACAGTGTGGATCTTGCTTGGGATTCTCTGTCTCCCTCTCCCTCTCTCTCTGCACCTCCCTCACTCGCTCTCTATCCCTCTCTCTCAAAAAAAAAAAAAAAAATACATAACTTAAAAAATTAAACTTAAGTAACTTTTATAATTTTAACAAGTTTGACATGCATATAATCTAAATTAAAGTTAAGAAAGCTCCAGAAGACTGAAAAAAATAGCAGTACCCATGTTTTCTTTTCTTTCTTGTTTTTTGTCCCTCTTTCTCTTTATACTTTATTAATGACACATGGTACTTCCTCAGTGTGTACAGGCAAAGCCAAGGGCTGGGAAAGGGCACTTGGATATGTCAGACCACCAAAGTTGTAGCTAATGTGCAGAGTTACCGGAATGATCCTGACTGGAGGATTATGGGGAGGGGTATGTTCAGCATTCCAACCAATGCCTGGGTATATTTTTATCAGGAACTCTTTTTTCAACATTGGCTGTTGTTCTTTCTTGTTTTATCTCACTATTCTGAGCAAAGCAGCTTCCCAGATAAGCGTAGGGTGACAAGTGGAAATTTTTTGGGTAGTTGTATGTTTAAACATTTCTAAAAATATTTTTACTCTATGCTCATACTCAATTGATAGTTTGACAAAGTATAAAATATTAGGTTAGATTTTTTTTTCCCCTAGAATTCTGAAGGTGTAGCCCTATTATTGTCAAGCTTCCAGTGT